AAGCCACACCGGGTACAGCGGATGCAGTATACCACATTGGCAGATGTGCAGGTGAACATCTGCTTGATGTGGAAAGTCTTCTTGGGGCCTGGGATGGGGGTGAGGGAGGAGGTATGGGGGCAGGTGTAGCACTTCCTGCGGTTGCAGGGAAAAGTGCCGGGTGTGGTGGAGCTGGAGGGAAGTGTGGAGCGGACAAGGGAGTCACGGAGAGAGTTGTCCCTCCGGAAAGCAGATAAAGGTGGGGAGGGAAAGATGTCTTTGGTGGTGGGGTCGGATTGCAGATGGCGGAAGCGTCGGAGGATGATGCGTTGGATCCGGAGGTTGGTGGGGTGGTACGTGAGGACGAGGGGGATTCTTTTTTGGTTTTTATTGCGTGGACGGGGTGTGAGGGATGAGGTGCGGGAGATGTGGGAGACACGGTTGAGGGCGTTCTCGACTTTTGGAGGTTGTTTTGCGGGCAAGAGCCTGCAAGTGAGCATTTCCAGCAATTTCTGTTTTTGTTTCCAAAGTGGGATAAGGAGTTCTTTTTCAGGTTGATGATTTGTGACCAGTGGGGTTCTTCAGGGATCAGTGCTAGGACCACAATGGTTTACAATACATTAAACATTTTGGAAGGAAGGAAGTATATTTACTGAAACCAAATTTGAAAATAAAAAAGGAGGTAGGTGGAAAGGCAGATTGTGAAAGGGATATGGCTTACAGAGAGATATTGATAGGTTTAGTAAGCCAGCAAAAAGTTGGCAAATGGAACACAATGCAGGAAAATGCAAAGCTGTTCATTTTGGAAGGGAGAACAAAAGAAACTACAGAAACTTGCAACACAAAAAGGGACTTGGGGGCACTTGTGCATGAAACACAAAGCTGGCACACAGGTGCAGTAATTAATCAGGACAACTAATGAAAATGTTGGCCCTAATTTCAAGGGATTGGAGAAGAAGAGTAGAAGTCTTACTGCAACTTATGGTACGCAATTCCTCTCCCATATTCCTTTGTATTAATGGGATGTTCAAAGTATCTTCCAACTTAAAGACTGATGTAGAAATATTTGTTTAACGCATATACCATTTCCTTTTTTCAATTTAGCAGGATGGAAGGAGAGAAGGGAGGGCAGGAATAGTAAATTTGTCAAAAGTAAAGTGCACCTACCTGGTGATCAATAACAAAGGATCTTCCACAGCAAAATCCTCCAATAGAGGCCAAGGAGTTCTCCATATTTGCACTTATAAGGTCAATATCATTAATCTGCATTTAAATTGAGGAAAAGAATTGTGTCAAAGTGAAAGTATCTATTAAAAACAGCATATGATCTCATCATTCAGAAAAACATTGATAACTCCCCTATTTGAAAAAAAGTGCCCTGATTTTCACGCCTACACGCAAAACCACAGGAACTGAATTTACTTAGGAAACAAAAAAAAGTAATCCATTGTACATTTTATATATTTACATAGTGTCATACATTTTTATAAAACATCTCAAGACTTGGCCTCAACCGTTTTTTTCCAAGCTGTCAGTTTGGTTCATGCTAGCAACAAGCATTTATTGATTACATGGAGAAAGAAAGTGAATCAAATTTGCAGACAACACAAAAATGGACAGAAAGACAAACTGCCAGAATGATGCACACAATTTAGAGAGAGATGTTGATAGGCTAAGTAAGTGGGCAAAAAGTTGGCAAATGGAGTATAATGTAGGAAAGTGTGATGTTGTTCATTTACGAAGGAAGAGCTAATGAACAGAATATTATTTAAATGCAGAAAAACTGCCGAAAGCTGCAGCACAAAAGGACTTGGAGCAGCTGTGCACAAAACACAAAAGCTAGTGCACAAGTGCAGCAGGTAATCAGGAAGGCTAACAGAATGATGGCTCTTATTTCGAGGGTTTGGAGTAGTAGGGAAGTCTTACTGTAATTCTGCAAGTTGCTGGTGAGACCACACCTGGAGTACCATGAGCAGTTTTGGTTCAAATATTTAAGAAATATATTATTTGATTGGAGGCAGTTCAGAGAAAGGTTCACTAGGATTACCCCTGGTACGGAGGTATTGTCTTAACAGCAAAGGCTAAACAGGTTGGAACTCTACTCATAGGAGTATAGAGAAGTGAAACAAAGGACTCAAGACACTTAGAGTAAATGCTGAGAGGATGTTGTACCTCTTGGGAGAGTCGAGGACCACAAGGCCTTGTCTCAGAATAACGGAGTGCCAAGACTGAGATGAAGAGCAATTTCTTCTTTTAAAGGTTTGGATGTCTTTGGAACTCCATGTCACAGAACCATGGGGATAGAGTCCTTGTGTAAATTTAAGGCTGAAATGGATAAATTCTTGATCAGTTAGGGAATCAAGTGTTATGGGGAATATACAGCAAAGTAGACATGAGCAACATGGGATTAGCCAGGATCCTATTGAATGGTGGAGCAGGTTCAAGAGGCCATATGGCCTACTTCCGCTCCGACTGGCAAGCAAGTAATGGACTTTCATGAACTGGAGGTTCTCTTGAACTTTATTTCCCAAATTAACATGTGCTGGGGCCCAAATTATTTAGTATATTGCTTAACAACATCGATAATGCAAGTGAAAGGCAGATATCCAAATAATCAGGTGATGCAGATGTGGTGATGCAAAGTGTCAATCGAAGTATAAAATTAAAGACACTTTAATTAAAATGAGTGGGCAAAACTGTAGCAAAATGGATGAAATCACCCACTTTGGGGCTTGAAAGAATAGAACAGTGCATTTTCTAAATGGTAACATGCTTGAAATAGTTGAGGTCTAAAGACACTTAGTGATCTAAAGACAAAGATCATTACAATGTCATAAACCAATAAAGAAAGTAAAAACAAAAAAGTCTGACCTTTACAATCAAGAATAAGAAATAAAAGTCAAGCTTCAATTATACAATACTCTGGTTAGACAACACTAGAAGTGCTGTGGATAGTTCCGTGATTCTCATATTAGCAAATAGACATTTGCCCTGAGAGGGAATGTAGCAGTGATTAGTGTAGCAATGATAGGTTAAGAGTCTGAAGGTTAAGCTACAAAGATTCAACAAAAATAGCTGAATCTCATAAGTCACATATCAGCCATAATCAACTGATAGGTAGGAAGGTCAAAACATATATTCAGGGATATTTGGACGGAATTGGAGAGACTAATTGAATAGCTCTTTCAAAGAATTACTGTGGAGAGACATGGTTCAAATGCAAGATTTCATGATATATAGTGAGGAGAGAGTAAGAGTGCAAGAAATCCAAATGGTTTGTTACGACAATCTGACTACTTCAGAGTCAGTTCCAATCAGTTTTTAAAAAAAAAAAAATCAAAGGGAGGACCACGATTAGTGGTTAACTCAAAATGTTAAAAACTTGATATCAAAAACTTCAAGAAAAAACATTACTATGCAAAGCATGGTGGCAGGTCAGAAAATTGGACTGAATACATCAACAAAAAAAAACAAATCGACGATTGACTAAAATGTTAAGGAGACAAAAACTAGACTAAAAGCAAGCTAGCCAGATACATCAAAACACACAGTAAAGAGCTTCCAAAATAAACATTTAACAGAGAAAAATATTAACAATGTGTGCTGATTATGTAGGATATAATTCTGGAGAATTGGTAACAGAAAATAAAGACTCCGCAGATGAATTAAATAGATAGCTTGCATTTGTCTTCACCAGGAGGATACCAGTTACAGTTCAGAAACTGCAATCAATCAATCAGGAAATGGGGAAGGATGGAGGAACTCAGGAAAATTACAAATCACTAGAAAAGTGCTACTCTGTTGGACCTGTGGGACACAAGGAGGCTATGAAAAGATTGGACAGGTTAAGTGAGTGAGCAAAGATTTGGCTAATGTACAGTATCAATGTGGGAAATATGAAATTGTCTATTTTTGCAGAAAAATTAATGACGTAATATTTGATTTAAATCCTAAGAAATTAAAGTGATCTGAGATGCAGAGAGATTAGTGTCCCAGTGCATGAATCACAAAGGACTCGTATGCATGCACAGTAGGTAATTAGGAAAGCCAATTAAATGACATTACTTAAAAAATCTGTGGATACTGGAAACCATAACAAAAACAAATTGCTAGAAAGGGTCAGCAAATCTGGCAGCATCTGTGGAGAGAAAAATCGATTTTGGGTTCAATGACCCTTCCTCAGAAAAGAAGGAAAACTCGGATTTCTCTCCATAGATGTTGCCAGAACAGTTGAACGTTTCCAGGATTTTCTGTTTCGGTTTGTGGTTGAGAATGATATTGTTTATTCGGAGGGGAATCAAGTACAAAAATAGGGAGGCTCTGATTCAGTTATGCACAGCATTCAGATCACATCTGAAATACCAAGTACAGTATTAGCCATCTTAGTTAAAGGAGGGATGCAAATATATTGGAAGCAGTTCAGAAAAGGTTTACCAGGCTAATATTGGAAATGGACTGGGTGCCTCATGAAGAACAGCTGGATAGGCTAGGCTTGTATTTGCTGGAGTTTAGAAGAGTAAGACACAACTTGATTAAAAAATTCAAAATCCTGACAGAATCTTGTCACAATAGATGTAGACGTGGTGTTTCCTCTTATGGGATAATTAAGAACTGGCCACCACTGTTTAAAAATAAGGGGTCGCCCATTTAACACTAATTTCCTGAAAAGATAATAGAAGCAGGCTTTGAACATTTTTTAATTAGATTCTTAGTAAGCAAGCAGTCAAAGGTTATGCAGTAGATGAGAATGTGGTTTTGCTGTCTTAATCAGATAAGCCATGATCTTATCAAATGATGAAGCAGGCTTAAGGGATCCATTACTAGCCTGTGCTCAAGTGTTCACGTCAGCCAATACTGAATTTTATTTTCTAGTCCTTTCATAATAATCAAATTCTTTGTTCTTTTCAAATTTACAGATTCATGGTAGGATTTGAAGTCACATTAACAGTACACACCCTGGACAACTAGTCCAGAAGGTTAGCCACTAAGTCATTGTATCAATGTAATTCTTGTTGTTTTGTAGAATGGATTTACAGAATACGATCCAAGAACAAAAAAAAAAATCTTACATTCACTCCAAAATGTTCAGTTACACCTCGTCCATGCTCTCCTAAAACCCCAAAGGACAAACTTTCTTCCAAAAATATCCGTACTTTGTATTTATATTTTAATTTTACCTGCAAAGTTAGAGGTATTCTCAGTAAGAGGTATGAAAGAATAATTTCAGAACATTCAAAAGTTTAATACAAAATGCACCATTTCTTTCATTATTAGAACTATTTTGTCCATCTCACATGAGCTATATGTTGCTCGAAATGAAATAACTACAGCTAAGCTATTCTTCTCCTCATTTTTCTCTTACCAGCTCCGGGAGTGGACAAATGTACCCAGTATTCATGTACAATCCCTCCACTACAAGGAATCGTCGGGTTACACGTGCTTTGCGAGGATTCTTGAAAAATAATTTGAAATAATTTCTTAATATACATGCAGCTAAAAGATCAAAAACATTTTTGAAAAAGTAATTTTGTTCTTTTTGATTTCACCAAGGTTAATCACATCTTACTTTCTGGTCCTCAAGTTCCTGTTCTTTAAGCAATCGTTCCAGGTCATCCATATCATTGTGTTTAAAATACTTTATGTTGCTGCGTGAAGCTTGCAAACCTTTTTGAATAGCAAAGCATGCAGCTTCATCCCTGTAAGAAAATTTAAACCACCTAAACAAAACAATCCTATGATACAGCAAGCTTCATCAGGAATATTTCTTTCAAAGTAACAAATTGGGCACTGAGGTTTTCTGGTCACCTTTATTTATTTTTCTAATTCTCTCCTAACAGCATATTACTCACGTCACAAAAAGATATAGCTGTCATGGTCAGGATAAGACAATGGAGATCAATGCTGGACTTTACCTGATCTTCAAACAGTACATCAGGCTTGGAGAAATTGCCACGTAAGGAAGCAAAGTTAACAAGCATTCTCAATTAATAATTGGCAATTCATTTTTCATTCTTTCAAAAGATCATTTAATGGAATACTGTAGGATGGTCCATATTTGTTGCTCATCCCAAACTACCCTAGAGGTGGTGGCAGAGAACTGCTTCTTGAACTGTTGCAGCTCATGTGGTGTACATCTTTCTCGATTGCAAAGACAAACCCAAAATGAAATTTTTAGAAAAAGCAACGTTTCTGACAGTACTTGAAAATAAAATTCTCATTAATATGCAGACTTGATAAAATATTCCAGGAACAACTCAAATTAATACAAAAACTAGTTTAATTCAAGACTGTGTTATACATAAAAGAAAAGGCAGCTAGCTCATGCTGTTGTGGCAGAGCTCTTGTTCCTCTTTAAAATTAGGCTGATCCACTTTCAAAAGACCGTATGGGTTTGATGAAAGTAATATGCTGAATATTGTGGAAAAATGTGCAGTTTATTATGTTTGTAATTTCCTTCAGATGTTTTCTGAACTTAAAGTTTCAAACAACCAAACATCCAAAAAGTACACCGCACTCTACACAACATCCAGCACCTGAATGAACAGAGTAAACAAATATCTGGTTAATAAGGAAAACACAGTTTGAATGAGGAAAGAGTCAGATGGACAACTCCACATCAAATCAGGTATAAAAAGCAAAAAGCAAAAAGCAAAAAACAAAAAAAAAAAAAAAAAAAAAAAAAGGAGGTTCAACCGAGATAAAGATCAGACAAAAAAAATTAAAATTTTGAATAATAGATAAAACCTAATGGAACATAATCCCACAAAATGTTAGTGGTTCGCGATGTGGAGGCTTTACAGGATGTCTAAAGCTTGGGTGGGTTATTAAAAAGTTCCTTACACTGGAATCAACAAATCTCTGTTGAGCTTTAATCTGTAACTGCCAGGCAAGTAATGCAAAATTATGCCATTCTGCAAATGTCCATAACAAGCTACACTAATCAAACAGATTTTGGAAGAACAGGATATCTTGGATAGTAACCTCTTGACTTCAAACATGTACAGCCATTGTATTGTCTAACTTATTGATCAGGGTATAATTATACAATTCTCTCATATTTCACAACTAAATGTGGGGATAAAATCTCAGCAATTTTTAATTGTTTTAATGATTGTTTTGCTCATCTGTGCCACATGAGCAAAAGCAGCTAGGTTTCTATTGAAAATGACTTACACAAACACCAGATCGCCTCTCTTCGAGTATGCTGGAATGGCACTGGCTATTGTGGCAAATCCATAAGAGTAAATAATAGCTTCTTCAGTTCTCATAAACTTAGCAATTCTATCTTCTAGCTCCAAATGAACATCTGAACAAAAACAGGAGGAAAAATAACAAACAGTTGGTAAACACGCACTCAAAATATCAAACTATGTGCAGTTGACAACAGAAACCATCTGAGAGATCCAAAGTCTGAAGCAAAAGACCAAATGTGGGAAATCATAGCCACAATATGTAGCAGAGCTGTGAATGAGGAAAATAGAAACACACTTCATTTTGAACAAGGAGAAGCAATTGGAATCATATGACAGAAAAGTGGTGAGGTGAATGACTTAGGAACCAGGTTTAGCACCACCAGGAGGGATAGGTAGCTGGGGAGTCATTGAGCACAGGTGGGGAAGCGATAAGAGGGAGCATAAGGGCAAGATAAGGAAGGAGAAGTGGGGAGGAGGGAGAAGTGGGAAAGAAGAACAGCAGGCCAATTTGGAGGGGTGGGGGTGGGGATGGGGGAGTGGGAGGCCAAGCAAGATGTCGTGGGACTGCTTTAGACAGAGCGAGAGCTGAATGCAGAGACAGAGACAGAGTGGCTGCAGGTGCAAGAGGCAGAATGGCGATTGAGAACCAGGCTTACAAAAAAAGGGGGTGGTGGGGCAGGCAGAGGAAAGGGGTGGGGATAGACAGGCAAAGGCACATAGAAGGACCCAGGGTTCTGAAGGAGAAAGCAGAGGATATTGTAAAGGCATTTGTGGTGATCTTTCAAGAATCACTGAGGTCATGGACGGTCCCGCAGGGCTAGAAAATGGCTAATGTAACATGCCTATTTAAGAGAGGGAGGCAGAAGAGAAGAAGCTATAGCCCAGTAAGCCTAACCACAGTTATTGATAAGATTTTAGTGTCCATTATTAAGGATCAGACTGCAAAGTACTTGTAAGTGCATGCTAAAATAGGGCTGAGTCAGCACAGCTTCATTAAAGGGAGGTCACACTTGACAAATCTGTTAGAATTTTTTGGAGGAGGTAATGAGCAAGTTAGAAAAGAGACACAGTCAGTGGCCATGATCTGTTTGGATTTCCAGAAGGCCTTTGACCACGTGCCATACAGGAGGTTGTTAAACAGGATAAAAAGCCCATGGTGTTGGGGCAAGGTACTGGCATGGATACAGGATTGGCTGACTGGCAGATGGCAAAGTGTGGGAATAAAAGGTTTCCTTTTCAGGATGGCAGCTGGTGACGAGCAGAGTTCCACAGGGGTCAGTGTTGGGAACATAACAATTCGCAATAACAATGATCTGGATGAAGGAATGAGGGCATTGCTGCTAAGTTATTGCTGCAGAAGGCTATGGAGGCTAAATCCTTAAGTGGAATTAAGGCAGAGATAAATAGGCTCTTGATTAGTAAGGAGATCAAGGGTTACAGGGAGAAGGCAGGAGAATGGGATTGAGAAATTTATCAGCCATGCTCAAATGGGGGAAGCAAACTCGATTAGCTAAATGGCCTAATTCTGCTCCCATATATTATGGTCTAATCTGGGTAAAAGTTCAGGAATAAACAAATCACTTTGCTGGGATTATACTACAGGACTCACAACAGTCAGAGAGAGATAGGAGTACACGTGAAGAGAGGCATGAGTGGAATAAGGTTATAGTAGTAGGAGATTTCAACTTTGCTAACATTAATTGGGATCACATTTGAAAGAGAGAGGTTTAGATGGATGCAATTTTTAAAGTGCATCTAGGAGAGCTTCTTGTGCCAGTACATATAGTCCAACCAGAACTAATCCTTCAAAATGAAGCCAGACAAGATGATGAATATTTTGGGAATAGTGACCATAACTCTGAAGGTTTTATAGTCCTCATGGAAAGGGATAAGGATAGTGCATAAGTTAAGTGTCTAAAGTGGAGGAAGGCCAATTTCAATATCATTAAACAGTATCTGGTAAGCAAACTGGGAGTGGCTACTTGAAAGTAGGAGTCTCTTAAAAGTAGTGTCATGAGAGTTTAGGGTCTGCATGTTTGTTGAAGAGTGAAGGGCAAGGACAGCAACATCAGGACTCGGGAACTGTGGATGTCAAGGGAGACCTAGAGTTTGATCAAAGAAGCAGCATTTGTTAGGTATAAAGCATCAAAAACAGGGAAGGCCATCCAGGAGTACAGAGACAGTGTGGAGGGAATGCTTACTAAAGCAATTAAGAGGGCAAAGAGGAGCCCCAAATACCTTTAGCAGATGGGATTTTCCTTCATCCTAAGGGATTTTAACTCATATTAAGAGGAAGAGGATTAAAAGACTTCTACTTTCAAGTAGCCACTCCCAGTCTGGTGGATTCAACTGGGTGGAAAAATATGAAAGCAATGACAGGAAAGGAGAATTCAGGAGAGGTTATTAAAGTCTCCAGTACAGACACAAACAGGAGTGTGTTTGGAAAAGGCTAGCAATCAAACACTGGAAAAACGAATGAAAATGAGAAGGGGGGGCGGGGGTTAATACAGGACTGAAGGTGTTATATCTGAAAGCGCACAGTATAAAGGAATAAGGTAAATGAGCTTGTGGCGCAGATCGAAACTAGCAGGTATGACGTGGTAGGCATCACAGATGTGGCTACAAAGGGGATCAGGATTGGGAACTGAATATCCAAGGATATACATCCTATTGAAAAGATAGGTAGGTGGGCCGAGGGGGTGGGGTTGCCTTATTAGTGAGAAATGAAATTAAATCAATAGGAAGAAACTAGGTAGGGTCAGATGGTGTAAAATCTGTGCAGGTAGAATTGAGGAACTGCAAAAGGTTTAAAAAAAAAAAAACCACAACAGTTGGCGTTGTATACAGGCCTCCAAACAGTAGTCAGGAGCTGGGGCGCAAGACAGAAAAGGTGTGTAAGAAAGGCAAAGTCAGTGATCTTGGGGGATTTCAACATGCAGGTGGACTGGGAAAATCATGTTGGTAGTGGATTGCAAGAAAAGGAGTTTGTGGAATGTCTACGAGATGACTTTTTGGAGCAGCTCGTGGTGCAGCCTACAAGGGAACAGGCAATATTGGATTTAGTGTTGTGCAATGAGACAGACTTGATAAGGGAGCCTAAGGTAAAGGAACCCTTAGGAGGCAGTGATCATAAAATGAGAGAATTTACTCTGAAATTTGAGAGGGCGAAGACAGAATCAGAGGTAACTGTATCACAGCTGAATAAAGGCGACTACAGAGATACGAGGGAGGAGCCGGGCAGAAGTGACTGGAAGAGGACCCTAGCAGTAAAGACAGTGGAACAACAATGGCAGGAGTTTCTGGGAGTAATTCAGGAGACACAGCAAAAATTCATCCCAAGCAAAAAGCAGCATGGTACAGGGAGAATGAGGCAACCATGGCCGACTAAGTCAGGATAGCATAAAAGCAAAAGAGAATGCATATAATGTGGCGAAGGGCAGTGGAAAACCAGAGGACTGGGAAGCTTACAAAGACCAGAGGGCAACAAAAGAAATAAGGAGGGAGAAGATTAAATATGAAGGTAAGCTAGCAAGTAATATAAATGAAGGCTGTAAGAGTTTCTTTAGATATATAAAGGGCAAAAGAGAAGCAAAAGTGGACATTGGACCAATGGGAAATGACAGTGGAGAGATAATAGTGGGGAACAAGGAAATGGCTGAGGAACTGAATTATTACTTCGCGTGTCTTCCACCGTGAAGACTGACGAGTAATATCCTAAATATTCAAGAGAGTCAAGGGGCAGAGCTGAGTATGGTGGCCATCACCAAGGAAAAGGTGCTAGTAAAACTGATTGGCCTGAAGGTGGACAAATAACCTGGACCAGATGGACTACACCCCAGAGTTCTAAAGGAGATAGCTGATGTTATCTACCTGGACTTCAAGGCGGCCTTTGATAAGGTGCCACACAGGAGGCTGCTGAGCAAGATAAGGG